TCGTTTGGGAGTCGTTGAGCAAGTAAGGTAAAAAATAAATGCATATTATAAGACCATGAAAGTGTTTTTTGACCTTGCATTCATGTCAACCTGTTGTTGGGGACTCCCAAAACCAAAATATGAACCTTTCATTACCCATAATAGGGGCACTTTAACATTATTCTCATGATAAATATACATATTATCCCCCAAATTGTCAAATTTAACCCCCAAATCAAAAGGGAAAAATAATTAACTTGTTTATTTAAGAATTTTTTTTTTTTTTAATTTAATATTTAACATTTAAATAAATTTAAAAAAAATAATTTTGTGACAATATTTTCATGATAATAAATTATATTTTATCCCCAAATTTTATCTGGCGTAATCAAGTGGCCAAAGTTTGACTAATTAATTATTTCTTTTGATTTGAGAGTAAAATATGACAGACATATTTAATGAGATTCACCCTGGGATTTATCTTATCTGCAAAGAAAACTAAAGGGTTAGCATACAAACACATTCAAAAATAAGATAAAAGTAACTTGGGACTTGAGAAAGACAACCAACGTCACCCAAAACAGAGACCCTTTACAGGTAAAGAGAGACACACTAACGGATGAAATAAAGGCTCCTTCTTGATGCTATAAACTCTTTTCAGCCTGCAGAAGTGTTCATGTGCATCAACGTCTTTTGAAACAGCAGACATGATGCTTTTCCTGCGTACCGAAACCCTGTTTTACTGACACAGGAAGCTCTAGCTAACGCTACACACTTAAAAACTGCTCTCAAGGGTGAGGACGGACTGGAGTATGCTTTTTGGCAGTTGTGTGGTGAGATAGGCTGAAGGAAATGTACCGGTGTGTGAGGAGAGGGAGGTGGACGGCGTGAGTCAGTCTGTGTAGGTGTGTGCTGCTGATTTACTGAGAGTGAACGTGTGTGTGTGTGTGTGTGTGTACATGCTGTAAAACTGGAACATACAAAGCTGTTGTCTATTTCTTCCACACTAGGACTCTTGAACTACCTTGTTTTGGGGGCCAAATCGAAGGTCTACAAACACTTTTCAGAGTCATACTAGATCTGGACGTCATTAAAAACTAAACTAAACACTATTAATAATGTGTTTACTTACATTAAAACAGGCAGATTTAAAAATCTAAGCCTGTTTTCCTTAAAAAAAATTGACTGATGACAAACTGTGATGTTGGCTTCACAAAGTCAGGTTCTGAAAGTTTACAAATACTTTGAAAAAATTTTCTCATAAAATGTTACTAACATGTTTTAACATGATCCGTTAATGGCTGCTTGCATGTTTTAACAAATTGCTAACATGTTTTGGTAAGTCGCTAACTTGTATTAACATTTTGCTAGGATGATTTAACAAGTTGCTAGCATGTTTCTAGCATGATTTCACACTTTGCTAACATGTTTCTAGCATGTTTAACATGTTGCTAACCATAGATATGTATAGATGCCCTATTCGACCGCTCCAGATACGTTGACGCGTCCGCCATTTTGGAACGGTCAACTTGACGTCATTCACCATAATAATCAATGCATATTCAAAGATATAAAAGCGTATAACTTGCTGTTGTAGACGCATACAGTCAACTTGTGCAGGGTTCGCAGACCGTTCCAAAAATAGCGGATGGCTTACGTATCGCGGCCCATAGAAATAGTCGTTAATGAGGCATCTATATATACATATATATATATATATATATATATATATGTTGATAACATGCATTAGCATGTTCTTAGCATGATTCAACACATTGCTAACATCTTTTAACATGTTGCTAATATGATTCTAACATTGTTAATATGATTTAGCATGCTCCCAAAATGTAGTAACACTATGCTAACGTGAATTAACATGTTGCTAACATGATTTAGCTAGTTTCTAGTATGATTTGACACAATTACTAGCATCTTTAAGCATGTTTCTAATGTGAATTGGCATGTTTTAACACTATGCCAACATATATTAACATTTGAGCGTGTTTAACACAAATGAGCTTGTTCTTAGCATGTTGTAACACTATGTTAACATACATTAGCATGTTCTAACATGTTTTAACACATGGCTAACATGAATTAGTATAATTCTAACATGTTTATGGCTAGCATGAATTAGGATGTTGCTAACATGTTTCCAACCAGTTTAATGTTAAACTAGCATGTTTTAACAGCAAACTTACATGTAACTTCTATCTATCAAAAAAAAAAAAAAAAGGAAAAAAGTCCTTATATTTTCCTTGCAAACACTAGAGCAAGTGTGATTTTCAGACAGGTTCAAATATCAAATGGAATATCAAATATATATTATGGAATTTTAGGACAATAACCTGAGACAAAGTTGGTTAAATGAAATAAATGAGAACTCAATTAAGCCTCCTAAACAATGGCCACCTACACACTGCAGCTAAATTCAGTTCACCTTTTAGTTCTTAATCCTGGTCAGTAATTTACAGAAGTGACAACCGCATTCAACAACCAAATTAACTCCCAAACAATTCAAGTAGTAACAACCACATTACAGAAATTTGGGAATAACCCACAGGGAATGAGATACTTCTTGACTCAGTGTTGCCAGATCTTGCTATAAAAAAACAGCAAATAAGAACAAGCTACATAAGCAACTTCCATACGTGTAAGCAACTTCCAATAAGAAACTTCCAAACGTGTTATTGTGGAAATACCAACATACACATACCAAAATTTCACAGCCTGCACCTGCCTACTTTATTAACTTCGTAAATTGGACTGCTTTATGAGCCGAACCCAAACAACAAGCCAAAAGATGATTAATAAGCGTTGCTTATAATAACTGGACATGGCAACCCTTCAAGAGTGTGCACTGCAAAGCAACCTTTCAGATATTACTTCCAAATTATTATCTTCAAAATATTTATATAATATTACTTTGTTTAAAAATTGCAGATATCGCGAGGCGGAAAAACGTTTCTATGGTCACCATGGTGTCAATTAGGTCACAGTTCACTGACAAGTTACGCAAAAAAATCGCAGACGATTTTATTGAGCGATTCTGAAATCGAAGAAATCGTTTGCGATAATGACAGCCGTTTGCATAGCTTCTCAGTGAACTACGGCTCTGTGAAGTAAATGCTGCTCCATCTGAAAGCATGTGAAAATACCACACATCTGTAATTTAGGCGATTCACTTCTGTATATAAATGCGGTGTCACTCCTGAAACTTAACAGTATGTACGCAGCCAATAAAAGTGCAACTGGCTACTTTTTCTCAGCCATTAAATCGAGAGGACAGACCTATCAAACGCATCAACAGCAGTTCATACGGCCTGAGCAACCTCCCATTTTATCATGATTCCCCCTTCAAAGAGCATGGAGGTCTGGCTGAACAGAGCAGATACAGTCAGCAGCTTTATTTGAGCTTTTGAATCAAGAACGCAATGAGCTGCGAGACTCTGAAAGAGCCCTTCACTCAAGTGACTATTAAACAAAACAGCAGCACTTTGTCATCCTCAATGCGAGGCTTGACTGAAACAATGCATTACACGCACCCGAGAATTACC